TTTTAAAAAAAAAATCCAATAGCAAGCAAGTATTAATTAAAATAGAGCCTTCTTCTGGAACTGGTATAGAGTTTGCTGTGAGGAAGCACAGGGAGAAAACAGTGTTGAAGAATCTTTCATGAGCATATATTTGATTCTTAAGGCACAGTGGGGCTCCTGGGTAGCTCAGTCAGTTGAGCTTCTGACTCTTGGTTTCAGCTGAAGTCATGATCTCATGGGCGGCAGAATCAAGCCCCATGTGGGGCTCCACGCTCAGTGGGGAGTCTGCTTGAAGATTCTCTCCCTCTGCTCCTCCCCCAACTCATGCACACTCACACATGTGCATGCTTGCTCACTCTCTCTCTCAAATAAATAAATAAATATTTTTTAAAAATCTCAAAGAAGACCCTTTACTAGGTCTCTCTGCCTGCAATAAGATTCTGTTTACTGCTTCTATTCTGAGGAGGAAAAGGGCTTCAGGGTCTGTGGCAAGCATAGACATTTGCTTCCCTACATCCATTCTTCCTTCTTCCTTAGTAACAGTTTCCTAAATTGATTTGGGGTAACAGAGAATCTAGCTGAAAGCACACATTTTCTGGCATCCTTCACAACTAGGGGTAGCAAATGATATGTAAGTAGAAGTTAATCAGAGGGGCTTCCAGACAGACAGATCTTCAAACAGAATTGAGTCAGCTGAGATAGTGTCTTTTTTGCCTTTCATCTTTCCGCGTTCATCTTGCCTAGAATGAAGACACCGTCCCTGGAGTCCTAGCCACCACCTTGTGATCTTTAGGATGGATGCTGTTCACTAAGATTAAGGGAGCTGAGAAACAGAAGAAGCTTGGAACCCTGATGATATTATGGAACCACCATCTCTACTCTGGACTGCCCACCTCTGGACTTCTTACAGGTGAGAGGAAAAACCTCTACATTTGCTTAAATAAATATAGGTGGGAGTCTTGGTTATTTGCATGCAGATGTAATTTCTAATGCACCTACATCCATTCTTGGTTCATTTGTTAACAGAATGTATGGCCTAAACTTGTCTATAAAACTATACCAAGAGGGGTGTTTGGGTGGCTCAATGGGCTAAGTGTCTGCCTTTCTTTCAGGTCATGAACTCCGGGTCCTGAGTTCAAGCCCCATGTGGGGCTCCCTGCTGAGCAGGGTGCCCGCTTCTGCCTCTCCCTCTTCCCCTCCTCCCCGCTCATGCTCTCTTGCTCTCTCTCTCTCTCTCTCAAATAAATAAATAAAATCTTAAAAAAATAACTACACCAAGAAAAATGTATAAACTTACCATTTTTAAGAACTATATATAATCTATAATCATCAGAGTAAACTAAGACTAATAATATAGCTAACATTTATTAAACACTCTTTATGTTTCAAGAAGTTTGCTATGTATCTCACACACATTACCTCATTTATTACTCTGCTTGATGCCATGAGGTAAGTACTATTATTATCATTAAAAGAAACTAAGGCCCACGGGGGAGGGCAGGGTTACATCAAGCACAGCCTCTCAGGCAGACTGAGAGCAGAGGCCAAAGCCTGAGCACCCATGCTATAAAAGGTAGGAAAAGAAAGGTCTAATCAGAAATACCAAGGATACTTTGCAAGTTGTATAGAGCACACTGTATAACTCTATGTAATTTAATTTTCAAGAAGCAAAAAAACTGAACTCATGGAAAAATACTTTAAAAATGCAACTTAAAAAAAAAGTTATCCCCAGATCACCAATACTAAGTCATATATATGGCTATGACTTCTTACACAGGGATATCATGCAGTGTAAAGGACACAATATCGCTTTTTGGTATTCTTGCCAAATAAGTATAAACTCAATCTTACCACATGAAAACAACAGATAAATCCAAACTGGGAGACATTCTACAAAATAACAGGCTCATCAAAACTGTCAGGTCATGAATGGCAAAGAAAGATTGAGGAAATAACACAGATTGGCAAAGATTAAGAAAATACAACAACTATATGGATTGGATCCTGGAACAGAAAAAGATCATTAGGAAAGGTAGTAAATTTCAAATAGGCTTACAGTTTAGTTAGTAGTATGGTACCAATGTTAATATTCTTATTTTGATAATTGTACTATGGTTATTTAAATTGTTAACATTAGAGGAATCTGGGTAAAAAGTATACATGAACTTTCTATATTATTTTTGCAAGTTTTCTGTAAGTCTAAAATTATTTCAAAATAAATTTTTTTAAGTTTTTCAAAAATTACCTCTAAAAAGAAGTTAGGTCCAGATACAGAGTTGAATTGTTTCCATCTTTCAAGGAATATTCTTATGGTATATAAACTGTTCTAGAGCACAAAAACAATGGAAAGTGTCCCAATTAATTTTATAAAGCTAATATAAACCTGATATTAAAATCTGCCAATACCACCTCAAGGCAAGAAAACTACTGTCCAATCTCACTCATGAATATAGACTCAAAAGTCCTAAATAAGATACCAAAAGTTAAAATCAGCAATACACCTAAAAAAGTCATCATGACAAAGTATACTTAATTCCAAGAATACTACAATGGCTCAATCTCCTATTTATTAAAGAATAAAAGAATAGGTCAAATGTACTTGATAACATTCCCTACTCATTTCTAATTTTTAAAACCACACTTAATAAACTAGAAATAAAAGGAGACTTTAACATCTACTTCAATTCAAGAAGTTAGAAATTAAAGTATCACCATTTGTTATACAATATAATTCTGGAGGTTCTTGCCAATGCAATAAAAAAAGAAAAAAATGATCAATTGTCAAAATGGAGAAAAACACTTGTTGCTATATGAAAATAATATAAAAAACTATCAAAAGAGGATTTAATATGTGGAATTCTTGCAAAATAAATAAACAGAATCTCATAGCTTTTCTATATAACAACTACAGTTATAAAATGTAATGGGAAAAGAACATGATCATAATAACAACCAGAAAACATAATATCTAAGAATGACCTCAACAAGAATGGTACAGAATATAAACGAAGAAACTGCAAAATGTTGCTTATGGACATAAGAAGAAATTCAAATAAATAAAATAATTGAAAAGTTAGATGGTGTAAGGATGCAGGAAAACAGACAATCTCATAGCTTGTTGCAAAAGCATAAAGTGGTAAACCTCTTTAGGGGTCAACTTGGCAAGATCTATCAGAACTTAAAACTTTCAACTCATAAATTCTACTTCAAGAAATTTATCTCACATGTAATATGTATGTATAAGTATGGGTATGTGCGTATGTGCATGCACATACAAGGCTACTCAACATAGCATTGTTCTTAATAGTAAAAAGCTGAGAACAACATAAATATTGAAAAATGACAGATTGCTTAGGTAAAGATGGCATATCAACATTATAAAATACTATGTAGCCACACTTGAAATAGTATCACCACTTTATTGAAAAATATTTTTGTAAATTTTTTTATAAAATAAGGAAGATGCACATACTTCTAAATATTATCAATATACTTTTTAGCTAGGTGGAAGAATTATAGTAACTTATTTTCTTCCCTGTAACTTTCTGTTTCTCAATTTTTCTATAATATTCGTGTATTGTAATTGCAAAGAAAGGTAATACAAGCTTTATCTGTGAATGCAAGGAATTCCAGTACCTAATATTTGCACTGCACTGGCCCATTTATAATGTGCACTCACATGCATTTTTTCCAAATACACACTATGTTTGCATTACCAGCTTGCAAAACTCAGAATAAATGTTTTTCATTTTGACCAGTCTCCACCACTATCTCAGTGAACTCAATAGTATAATTGCATTCTGATCTGGGGTCAGAAAGTGAAACCAACACTTTGCCTATGCAAAGAGAAGGGGAAAGACACCCATGGCAGCAAGGAGGAAAAAGAGGTGTTTATCCTGCAAGCCTCAAATCTCTAATCTTCTCCACTACAGGAATCAGGAGCTACTTTTGTTTCATCAACTTTTCTTTAGCCCTGTGAGAATTGTGTTTTATTATCTGTTTATGTGCAATGCTCTACTCTTTGAGTTGATTGACTAAGCCAGGGCATCAAAGCAGGAAAGTGAGGTGTATGCTTTAAGGTTTAGATCCTGTCTAACTGTCTCTCAACAGCAAGAACAGGGAAGTAGAGCTCAGCATAAACAAGCCATTTGTGACAAGTAACACTTATGATTCCCTATAATTGCTCAGTTTTGAGCAGGCAATGTGCAGTATTTGAGAAAATGTTCCATTGTCCTACGCTGTCTCCTTCAGAGAGAGCCCTAATCACATATGAAGGAAATGTTTTGTACCTGTGACCTTTTTAAACACCATCCCAGCAACACTGGGAACTTCCCCAGATCCATCTTAAGGAATCATATGCTTTCAATCATATGTGTTGGTGGGTCTCAAACTTCTATATAGGGGAGGCTGAACGGGCAGTAATCTGGAAGGAAGTGGGGCTGGGAGCAGTAGCTTTAAAAAATGCTTTTACCTCAATTTATACTAATGGTTATTTTATTTTCACACTGCAGCCCATTACAAACCCCTATGTGTAACCTGCTTAGATATATAGACACATACAATTATATTACCAAAATAAAAGTTTTGTGAAATAATACACTTGCATGTGTGACACACTTTGACATGTTCTATTACATCGATACAGTCTAGTCTATTCTATTAAAAATCATGCCCAAATCTCATTAAAATATTCCAACCGTCCATCACGGTGGTAACCTGCAGTGGGAAACACGTTTGAGAGGGGTCGTTAGGGCCTGCATTTATGACCATCCAGAGTGCTGGAGGGAGTGATGCTCACTCCCAGACAATCCGTGACCACCCCAAGTAGGAGGTATCTTCTTGCTCTGAGTTCTCAAAGAAGAAAAGCTTGAGACCTTACAAGAAGTCCTGGGAGTGTTCAATATCACAAATTTCTAAGTTCCTTTTTATGGAACCAAGTCTATTGAGGTAATTCAAATTACTGGCTTTCTCAGGACCTCTTTGGACAGCTTAGAGAGAGGGGAAACTGGAAGCACAGTTACCGTAGGAAGAACTGTTGAAGAGCTCGATGTTGAAGAAGGCGTAGTCTCCACTGGTCATCCCATGCTTGTGCGCCGCCAGCATGATGCCCCGGATGGTGTCGCTGCTCGCACACATGATCACCACTGGGGAGGGAGGAACAAACAACATGTGTGAAACGCCCTTTCCCACAGGCCAGTGAGGACACGGAAACCAGGGGTGGGGACGTCTGACAAGGAACCAGGGACTAATATAGCCCTAAAGCACCACCTTACTCATGACTTACTAATTACAGAGGGAAAGAAGAGGAGCTCGACAATGGAGAAAGCGAGCGGACGCCTGCATAACCAGGTGATAGAAGCCCCCATCACCAACCATGGGAGCACACGCATGAACCAACACCCAGGACCAAAAAGGTCAAAATGGGCAACGTGAATCCAATCAGGAGAGCAGCCAAAAACCCAGCTTTGGAAATGTTCTAACCCAAAAAGGGGTTAGAGGAACAGAAAACTAAAATGTGTGATCCTGCATCTTAAAAAAATAATAATAATAAAAGTTTTGCTATAAAGGGCATTATTGAGACAACTGGAAAAATTTGGGGAAGTCTGTAAATTAGATAGCAGTATTGCATCTGTGTTAAAAGTTTTTGCTTTTCATACTTATACTGTGGCTTTGTAAGTGAGTGCCCTTGTTCTTGGGGAGCACACACCTAAGTATTTAAGGGTAAGGGAGCATGACGGCTCTACTTACTTCTCAAATCGTTCCTAAAAAGATACGTGTGGGTGTGTGTGTGTGTGTGTGTGTGTGTGTGTGTGTGTATTTGAAGGTGGTAGGAAGGGAAAGAGCAGGGAGAGATTTGGAGTGAAAGCATATGGGGCAAAATGTTAAAACTGGTGACAGTCGAGGTCAAGGCTGTACAGAGTTTCCTTAAACTTTCTTACATCTTCTCCAAAAGTATAAAATTATTTCAAAATCAAGTTTTTTAAAAAAAGACTTCAAAGATATCATCAAATTTGCCCAATAAAAGCCAGTGAAGAGTATCAACAGCTTTTTGTACTGCATAGCATGGCAAATACATTTTCCTGAGAAAGCAAACTGAACGGCTCTAGGGAGAACAGTCGTTTGGCAAATCAGAGGATGCAGGGAGTGGTGTAAGTTTTCTGCTGTCTGAATGTTGAAACATTTCTCTCAAGCTGTCTCAACGTGTATAGGAAATAGTTAACGAGACTCCAGGACCCTCCTCATGTTCTCTCCGTTTGTACCCACACTGGCAGGTTTGAGGAGCTTTAAGCAGCTCCAGAACATTGTGGCCTGCCACGTGTGAGCTACACCAGGCTGGCGTGAAGCGGGTCCCTGGCTGTCATCCAGTTAATTCCATCACTGTCGGTGGCCTCTGGTCCCCATGACGCAGACCACTGTGTTTCGCTGCATACACGGAGAGAGGAGACCCGGGGAGGCCGGGGGGGGGGGGCGTCCCCACATTATCACCACACACGCCAGCCCTCTGCGATGTGTCTGTGTTTTGTAAAAGCATGGGTGCTGAAAGACGTCAAACAAACTCCAGGCTGGGCCAAAGCTGCCTTGGCAACCTGCACGAAGGGTTAGGCGCCTGTTGATATGTCGTTTATTACACATGTTAATTCAGAGTGTTAGATCGTGACTCTGACATTTCTTACTACAGAAGGGCTCGCTGCGCAGGCTCACGCTCTGGAGAACGAGTTTTAACAATACGAAATTCCATAAGGTCTGTAACTGTGGGAGTAGGTGTTGTTTGTGCCTAGAAATACTGGTATATATTTGGAATAAATAGTCAAATTCCAAGATGCCTCAGCAAGGAAGCTTTGAAAGAAACTCTTCATCACTCATTAGGACCTACACTCTTGTTTCAGCTCTGATTCAATTTTAGTCCCTTGAAATGATAAAAAGAGCCACGGTGTCCCACAGAGCAGCCAATAAGGAAAAGGCTGAGGCTAGACAAGTTTCAAGAGTGCAGATTCCAAGAGTGGGCATCTACAGAAGGACCCCGGAGGCTCTAGCTAACTGTCCACCAGCAGCCCCCATCATTTTGTGATCAATTTATCATAGTCCGGAGTCTGGCCCTAAACCCCCAGATATAGAACCTAATTCTATCGGCACATGAAGAGTAGAGTCATTGCTTGGAAGTAGAATCCCAATAATCTAACGCAGATGTTTTTAGATACTCTCAAATGCAGATAACTTCATTTCAATGAGGACCCCAATGGTCACACACACATTTGTATCAACATGTCCCTGGGCATGCCAAATGAGAAGCCATAGTGTAAGCAATCCGGTGTTAGTGAGGATGGAATCTGAATCAAGGAGGTCAGTTGGAGGATTCAGGCATCCAAAGGCATCAGGCCTTGGTAACCGTAAGCACCCATGGAAGTGCTATACCTAGCCCAGGACCTAACAGGCTATGTCCTCGGGCTGGAACATAAGCTTCCCTAAGTCCTGGATGGGCTCTGCCTGACACTGCCCCCCTGTCACTTCTTTGTCTATTTTTACAGCTCTGGCCCATCTCCTTCTCTCTATTTCCATCACCACAAAGACCAAACCCTCTGACAGACACACTCTTTCTTTAAATGTCAGTACCTGCTGGGACTGAGCAAGAGTGACACAGAGCAGCAGTGTGTCTATCTGAGCAGACTTTAATTATTCTAGATCTCATCCATTTTGTGTTGACCATGCAGTTAAATCCTCCTTTGTGAGAACGAATTTCCAAGTTCACGGGCAGGATATTGTTTTTCTTGCATAAAAGAAGCCCATAATGCACATTATCATCCAGTTGAAGTTGGAGCAAGCACTTACAGACACTGGCAAAGCAGAGAGAATGCAGAATCCTTCTAGATTTGTAGAATGTTTCCTAATCTCATATGGCTGTTTCATTCATGCCTAATTCAACAGCAACTATTTTTAGCAACTTGCCTTTATACAATCTGTCAGAAGGTTTAAAATAGTTTTCACTAAAATAGCTTTCTCCTCCTGCTCATGTTTCATCAGTTTATATAATAACTAATTAAATTACACATCTATTATAATAAATACAACTGGGATAAACGGATTTGGCGACAACTCTTGGAGAGTATATGGACAAGTGTGAGAAGCGTGTGGCCATAATCAGGAGAAGCATACAGTGACCAGCATTCACCAAGAGTCAGCACAGTGTGTGGAGCAAGAGAGCTGCAGCTGACCCTGCAGGCGGCTTAAATGACGGCCAATTAAGACAATCTGTGCTGTATTGAAGTAGAGTTAAATATATAAATACTCACTTTTTGGTCAAATTGTTAAGCTTGTAAAACGAGGGATGATGGTGTGATTCTAAGGTTCTGGATGGACTGTTCATCATTCTGCTCTATTTCTCTCTTTGCCAAAGACTTGTGATGTCCCATGGCATCCTCCACTATCTGACTCCCAGTGTCTTCTGGAAGTGACTTTGCAATCACTCTAAGAATGGCAGAGAGAAGTGTTAAAGGGTGGCTACAGAAGCCAATTCAGAGAACCAGAAACAGTCCAGGTGGCATACCTGAGTTCGGGGGGATATCTTTTCCCCAGTCTTACGTTTCCATCTGGGGTTACCTCTAAGAGGGTGAGACTCCTCATCCCTCAATGTGCCTTCATTTATCCCTCCCTCCCCCACCACCACCCAGAGGAAAAGGAGTAAATTGTTGGATTGGTGAGGTGAGTCTGAAAACAAAAATGGCATGCTGGATCCTTTCTTCCTTCCTCTTTTGGGTGCATGTCTGCTTGCAGAGGGGCACATATTAAGGGAGAAATAACAGTAAGTAGCAACAAATCTAAGTGGCAACAAATCTAAATCCATGTTTTCCGATTGGTTTTATCAATAATAAAAACATGGGGCACCCAGGTGGCTCAGTCGTTAAGCGTCTGCCTTCGGCTCAGGTCATGATCCCAGGGTCCTGGGATCGAGCCCCGCATCGGGCTCCCTGCTCGGCGGGAAGCCTGCTTCTCCCTCTCCCACTCCCCCTGCTTGTGTTCCCTCTCTCGCTGTGTCTCTCTCTGTCAAATAAATAAATAAAATCTTTAAAAAATAATAATAATAATAAAAACATATTTTGGGGGTACCTGGGTGGCTCCGTTGGTTAAGCGTCTGCCTTCTGCTCAGGTCGTGATCTCGGGTTCCTGGGATCAAGCCCCTGCTCAGTGGGGAGTCTGTTTCTCCCTCTCCCTCTGCTCCTCCCCCCATTCGTGCTTGCTCACATGCTCTCTCTCAAATAAATAAAGTCTTTTAAAATAACATATTTTCACATTCTCTATCTGACTCTTGCATCCATTTTCCATTTAATTCTAAGCTTAAAAAAGAAAGAGATGTTACTTTACAGAAGCAAAGCAATATATGCCATATGCTGCAAATTGAAAATATGATAGCAGAAATTAGAAACCAAAACTTAATAGTAATTTGAGGAGCAAAGAAATATTTAAATGAGAGGAATTTCTTCTTAAAAGACAGGTGGTAAATAGGAGAAAAGAGGTAAGGAAGGTAGAGTTTCAGTCCAGTAAGTCTAACATCCAAATAATACAAATTTTAGAAAGACAAACAGAGAAAATGAAGGGGATAAAAGAAATAATTTAAGAAAATTTTTCAGAACTAAAAGACATGAGTCTCTGAACTGAAGAGGTGTACCCTCCAATACCCTGATATGCATAAGGCAAGATACTGGCATGAAAGTACATCATAACAAAATGTTAAAACTTTGAGAGCAAAGAGAAAATTCTAAAGTTTTTCAGGAAAAAAATAACAGATAACAAACAATAGGTCAAGAATCCAAATCGATTCAAACTTCCTAGTAGTAACATAGGAATCTGTAAGACAATCCTTCAGATCTTGAGGGAAAATGATTTCCAACCTAGAATTCCATAAAAATGTATAAGGGTAGAATGAAGACATTTTCGGTCATGAAAATGACCTTTCGGTCATGAAAGGTATCAAGCTTTAGCTCTACTACATCCTTTCTGAGAAAGCTCCTGGAGGAAGTGATCCACCAAAACAAGAACACAAACTAAGAAAGAGGAACACCTAGGGATCTAGTCAGAGAGAGAGAGGGGCAATGGGAGTTGCAGGGGGTGTTAAAGAAAGAATCCAGAGTGACAACTGTGCAATCTGCTTAGAAAATAACCTAACTGGAGCATCTCAGGGGCTTACAATAGAGTTGATGGATGATTTGGTTGTAACTCCATAGGAAACTAAGCAAACAAGCAAAAACAGACTTTTTTTTTAACCCAAGGAAAACTAGAACAAAGCAGGAAATGTCATTGTAATAGCTGATTTGGTCCGACTACAGATAGCATTTAGAGGACAATGATAGAGACACTGAAAGCTGAGCTAACCAAAAATTCTTACACCACCGTTCTGAGAGGGTGTGTGCAAGGACACACACACGCATGCATGTGCGCACGTGTGATGGAATATTATGCAGCCATCAAAAAATGAAATCTTGCCATTTGCAATGACGTGGATGGAACTAGAGGGTATTATGCTGAGCGAAATAAGTCAATCAGGGAAAGACATGTATCATATGCTCTCACTGATATGAGGAATTTGAGAAATAAGACAGAGGATCATAGGGGAAGGGAGGGAAAAATGAAACAAGACAAAACTGGAGAGGGAGACAAACCATAAGAGACTCCTAATCTCAGGAGACAAACTGAGCATTGCTGGAGTGGTGGGGGTGGGAGGGATGGGGCGGCTGGTGATGGACACTGGGGAGGGTATGTGCTATGGTGAGCACTGTGAATTGTGTAAGACTGATGAATCACAGACCTGTACCCCTGAAACAAATAATACATTATATGTTAATAAAAAATTTTAAAAAAAATTTTTTAATTAAAATAAGGTAAAAAAAAATGATGTCTGCAAGGAGAGCTCGAGCAGGTGGTTAATACGCAGGAGAAGAGAACTAAATTATCATCTGTCCCTGGGATGGCAAGAGACAAACCCTCAAACCGAAATAATCAAAGTCACATGTTATTTAGAGGTATGAAGTCAAATACCTACAGAAATCACTGCAAGAGCTGAAAGTACTTTCCTCTGGCAAGTGAAACATGGAAAGTGTGAGGGAGCAAACTCTTATTCTTGGGTGATCTTCTGACTTTTTAATCTATGTAACTGTATAACTAACTCCCATAAAACTAGTATCTTTTTTTAAAAAAGACTTCTTTCTGGCTGTTTCTACACTATACAGCAATGGGTTTCATTTGCAAAATAGAGATTGCACTTTTGTTTTTCACAAAGGTCCATCCACTCCAAAGACTTTCAGAGTTTCTACACTGCAGCTTACAATGCTTCATTTTTCCCCTGCTGTGTGTTAGTTATTTTACACTTATCATGCGTTCTTTGCTTGAAAATTCTGCTGATCAACCATTTGGTCATTTATCCTAGACTAAATCTAAAAATAAGTGACTCTTGTACTGATTAAATACTGTTGTCTCTATAGTTGTTAGCAGGCCCACATCAGTGACACACTAATAACTAAGAGGCTAAAACTACAGTTCTTCATACAAAAAATGTGTGTGTATACTCCTTCCAGTTCTGTGTTTCCTAAGATGCATAGACAAAACAACTGCTAGCTTCTATTGCTTGAAAAAATTGTTATTTTTAAACTTGTCTTTTTAAAAAAAATAAATTTATTGCTGACTATAGAATACTGAGGGCAGTCGTGGACTAGAATTGAATAAGTTTTAAGTAAAGATCATTATGTTTTTACTGATACAGACTCAGGCATGTGTATTTCGGTGATGCTCTATGTTGGCTAAAGACAAAAGACGGAAAAAATTTTTAATTATTGACCTTGATGGTAAATCCTTAAAAGGAATGATCAGTTCCCCTCAGTTCTTCATTTTACAGTACAGCACATAGCCAAGTGAAATTTTAGTCATATTATTATTTGAGATGGTGGCATTATCAGTTTTTACCCGTTAGGAAATTCAAACATTCTCGATATGATTTTAAAGATGAAAATAAGTTCAGAAAAAGTGCTAAGAATGTTATCGCCAAAAGATGGGGGGGGGGACAGACACTCTCTGGTTCTATGATGTTTCATATGGAGTTTTCGAGGACAAAATTGTGGTCGGTTATTATGTTTTTAATATTTGAGTGAGCACAAATCCAAACCCCAGATCAGCGTGAAGAGGCCTAATTCTCATCTGATCCCACTGTTCCAGCAGGAGGAAATCCCTGCTCAGAGAAGGTAAATGCTTTGCCCAGGGCCATGCAGCAGCGGAGAGGGGACCCCAAAGCCAGAGCATCTGCTCCTCCTGCCAGAGTTCTCTCCCCAAGGCATGGCCTCACCTCGGTAAGGACGATTATCATCATATATATAAAATAAGAATAACCATAATCAAACGTCACATTGACTGAGCATCCGGTATGTGCCTGGCACTGTTTCAGCACATTCCACGTGTTCACTCACTTAACCCTCCCAGCATCCCCAACATGGGTTGCCCCAGCTACTGCCACTTTAGCTGAGGAGCCTGAGGTATGAGGCTTAGTAGCAGCAGCCAAACCTCTTTTGCTAGGGCAGGTGCTCTGGAAGTCAAACTCCACGGAACCCCTGAACTGAAGCCCTATTTAACACTTTAACCACTTATGGCAAAGTAAGGGTGATTAGTAAAAGATCCCCAGAGAAAGCTTTGTGATCAAGCAACTTTCACCCGAGGGTAGGGAAAGAGGGAGTGGGAGAGAAGACTTAGTAGAGAAACGGTTTTGTTTTATATTTATGAATATTTATCCTTCTGCCAAGTCATTGTTGGAAATAGACTTTAGATTATGAATGATAGCCTCATCACCTGCAATACACACAGTTCAGCCCAGCAAACTTTCACCACTAAATTCAAACTAAAATAAAAGAGAGAGAGAGAAGGAGAAGCAGCAAAAAGACCTGGGAACAGCTATGAGGCTTCAGGAATTAAATTAATCCGAGGCACCAGACTGTAGTCCAAGCTCTCTGAAGCCCCCAGGCCTAGCAGGGCACTGGCACCTCCCTACCCCTTGCCTCAGCCACACCATTGTGAGGCTGAGGGGACCGGTGGCTGCGATCTGCCCTCATGGGGCCGACCGCTCCCCTGAGGCCATGGATCTCAGGCGGTGTGTGCATCGGTCACCGCCAGCATTTAGACCTTCAGGGCTGTGGCAGCATAGACGGGTTGGCTGACCGCGGCTCGCGCCCGCCGGATAACACCCCCCTCCCCCCTCCCCCGGCCATCTCCAGCCCTTCGTGCCATGAAAACCAGAGCTGAAGAATCAGGTTCCGGGGACACAGGGCAACCTGAGGTCTACAGGCTCTGCAAAAACCTGGGGACTGGGAGAGGGGAAAGAAGTAGATGTGGGTTTCTCCGCCGGGCGTGACGAGTCCTCAGCGGTTGGACACAAGTGCCCTTTTTCATAATCAGCAAAACCGGCGCCCCGCCTGCTTGTCTGGCGGGGATTCGGCGCAGACAGCTTGGAGTTCGAATGCTCAAAACTTGGCCATGCATCCCCACTGTCAACACTGTCAACACCTCCCACTTCTTCTCTCTAAAGAGTGCGTTCACTCCCCAGTCCGAGTGGCCAAACTGAGCAAGGGGGCGACCACGACGCCATCCTCCAGGGAGCTTCTGCCCACTCTCACCTGTTCCTGAGGCTTCTAGCTTCCGGTTGCGCTGTGTCCCACAGCCACAGCGCCCAGGCGCCTGGCCGTGCCGAGTCGTGGACCAGCCCTGTGTTTGGCTCAGCCCTTCTCGCCTGTGGCCTCCCCGCGTGGGGTCGTGGGGAACTTTGCCCCGACTGCACCACTGGCAATCCAGGAGCGTGCGCGCCGAGGGGGAAGCCGAAGTGGGTTCCCCGGCTCCCCCCGGGGACTCTGCACCCCAAACCTGACACCAGGAAAGAGGGAATGCACTATGCTGGGATCTCAGCCCACCTTCACGCAGCCTACCCTGCAGTAAAATGGGCCGCACTGGGGTCTTCTGCAATTAGGTATCCTCGACCACCCGCTTCTCCTCCCGCTCCCTGCTCCCTGCCGCGGTAGCCGCCATCCTCAGCCTTGAGCTTTGTCGGGTTTGGTAGTTATTCAAACTCCCACAGACCCGGGGAGAAAACTTGGGGCGCACGTGCAAAGGCTGTAAGCGCCCGCTTCCCCAGCGCGAGCTCTTGCAAAGCCTCGCTCGGGGCGCTTTAGAGACCTTGGAGCCGAACGCGCGGCGGGGGGGGGGGGGGGGGGGGGGGGGGGGGGGGGGGGTAGTAAGCGTCGCCCGAGTCCAGACACAGCGAGGCATTTTTGGTGGAAACCACAGAGGCTCGTTTATAAGGGTCACGGAAGGAATGAGAAGGGCGAAACAATGACCCTTTAAAAGAAAGCTGGAGTTTGTGGAAGGTGCAGCCAAGGAAACCCTTGGAACGAAGCTAGACAAGTAGCCGCTAGCCAGTTGTGGAGCGAAAAAACATGCTTCCGCACTAGGAGGGGGCGCACGATGGTAAAGGACTGAGTAACTAATTCTCTCGGCCGCGGGACGCTTTCAGACCCTGGTTGCAGCAGGGCACCGAGAGTGCGCCCCCAATCACCAGCCTGGCGCTGGCGAAGGGAGAGAGAGGAAGAAAAACCCAAGCAATCTGACAGCACCTGTCGGACCTGGGCATTCGGGAGCTGCAGGCCCAGACGCCCCTCCCCCAGGCTCCACCACCCCCCTCGGACCTCTATATTCACCCCGCGACCGCGAAGGGAGATGGTCAAAAGTTGTCGCAGCCAAACGGTGCACACCCGGGCGAATCCCCGCGTGCGCGTCCTCCCCGGGTGCTCGGTGCAGCAGGGGGTGGTAGGGTCCGCAGAGGAGCGGACGGGTGTGTAGGGAGAGCCGCGAGAGCGGTTGGGTTAGGGCCGGAATTCCGGGGCGCACTCCTGCTCACCTCGCTCACTGGCCTGGATGTAGCGCACTATGTCGTCCAGGTCCAAGTCTTTGGTCTCATCGAAATTGTAGGCGGACGTGTGCAAGCCCTCCTCCTGGAAGACCTCGTGGACCCCCTCGAGGGTGAAGTAGCAGTTCCGCTCCAGCTTGTCATCGCTGTAGACCAGTGCGGCGCGGCTCCACTGGTGGTGGCGGAATAGGGCGAGCATCATCTCACCCATCTTAGCGTATGCGGGTGCCACGCGCGTGAGGTGTGAGTACTCCGTGTCCTTGTGCTGGAAGCCGGCGGCCAGTGCCCCTGCCGACAGCATAGGCAGGTCCCAGTGCGACGCAAGCCGGGCCACGGGCGCTGCTGCGTACTCGCACACGGGTCCCAGGATGAGATCCGGCTTGGCGCCGCGCGCCGCCGCCACGCGGTCCACCAGGCTGAAAAGTGCGCGGTTGCCGCAGTCCGAGTCTTCATAGGCCACCTGGAAGCGAGTGCCGGGTGGCAGAAGCCGCCGCTCGGTCCCGTTGCCCTCCACGCTGCGCAGCGCGTATTCGATGGCCGGCCGCACCCGGGCCAGAGAGAACAGGTACGAGTCGTCCTGGGGCAACAGCACCAGCACCTCGATCTTCTGCGGCTGCAGCACTTCTCTCTCCCGGCGCCATCCGCCGAGGCTGGCGCTCCCGCCGCCACCGCCACGGGTGCTGCCGACCAGCAACGCCCAGACAAGCAAGACGCACGCGGAGAAAGTGAGCACCAGCAGGGACGGCATCGTGCTGCAGGAAAGAGCCTGCCCTCGCTGCCGACTCGCCCTCTGCCCCCCACCCACCCTTCCTCTTTCCTCCCCACTCTTCTCCCCGAGGTCCCTGCGCCCCCTTGGGCGCTCTAAGAAAACAGAATACCCCCTTCGCCAAAAGACAGAGAGGAAGAGTCTTTCTTTGCAGTGTCACTCGTTTAAAAAAAGAGAGAGAAAGAAAAGAAAGAAAAAGTTCACCGCGTGTAAACCTGTACGCCTGTAATATATTTATATATATATACTTATAAATATATATATATATATATTCGCCCTCCCTTTATATATACTATTTTGCTTAGAGGTGGCTTCTTATTTGGGCGTTGCTAAGATTGCTTTTGAAAGCGTATTTGTAAAAGAAAAAAAAGTTAGACTTGTCCAAGTGCTTGTAATTGACGGTGCATCTCCCCCGCGTTTGATCTCATTGATTCGCGCCGGTTCCTGGATCCATAGCCCGCGTTTAAATAGCGTGGCAGCGGCGGAGCGTGTTACCACACAAGGCGCTCCGAGGCTGGGCTTGTATTTCCAGCGGGTGGGGTGGGTGGGGGTGGGGAGTGGTGGGGGCTGGGCTGGGGGAGCCTCTCATTAACATTCTTACATCAGGGCTCCTCCCCACACCCCTACCTTCCCCCCCCCCCCCCGTCCCCAACCCCCACAACCCCCAGCCAGCCCCCGGCCTTGTCCTTAAAGCCGCAGTCGCCCACGTCCGCACCGGCGGGAGTCCCCAGCACACCGCACTGCCTCTGGGGTCCCCCGCCTTACCCTGGCCCCGCACGCGGCACCGCCTTCTCCAGCTCCAGGCTTTAAAAAGGGAAATGTGTTTTCTAAGTAAATGAGCGCAGGCACACACACTGCGCAAAAAACAACAGGATTAGAGGAAGGGGGTGGTCCTAGAAATTTGTAGTTTCGTTGCAAATATCGGTAAATCCCGCTCACTCTCACCTCTTTCTCACTCCAGCCAAATTCCCTCCTGACGCGCCAACTCGGGGCGGGCACCCGACCTTCCCAGTCCCCTGGCACAAGGTCCGGGAACAGGGACCAAGGTTCCAGTGCAGACGGCTCGATCGAGGACCTAGAACTCCCAGCTAGCCCAGGCGGTACTTGCACCCCTCCCTCCCCCGCTCTCCCCTGCCGCGCGCCCGCGTCCTCCCTCTGGGCCGCGCGGTTCGCGCTGGAGTCGCCGCCGGCGTTTCCAGGATTCCAGGGACCCAACGCAAAGACCCTCAGCCCGCGAGCTGCAAGCGGAAAAGAGAAACTTGTTGCTCCCAAAGGCGAGCGAAGAGTTCGGCTTCTGGAGGTGGCGAATAGTTTGAAGAGCATCTCCGAGGCGTCCTCAAGGTTTTGTTTGCCAAACCAGGGAACTAAAGAGACCTCCCTATATCGTCACCCGAGGGTCCCCTGGGTGCAGGAGCACCGTCCGTTCCAACCGCTTCTCCTCAAGGTCGCGAGAGACACTATGCTCGCGGTCTTGCACTGCCGAGAAAGGTCCTGTGTCGGAGACCTAGACTTGCCACTGGTCAGAGCCACAACAGCAGCGGAGACAAGGATGGAAACGGCCGTGAAGTCCGTGGCCAGAGGGGCCTCGCGGGAGTCCTCCGCGCTACAGGGCAGGTCCAAATGGAACCTGACCCTCTGAACGTGACAACAGACCGAAGTCATTTGCAGTTCGAACGTGCTACGTTGGACTGGGGAATTCCGATACTTAAGTGCCGCAAATTAAAATAAATTGAAAATGTTTTTAAAGGGACTTTCATTAGACTGTGTCCATGAATTCCTATTAGTCTTAGACCAACGCCCTCTTTCGGCAGAAACTTGCAGCCGGCTGTTATCGCTGATGCCACCGCCCCAGGCGCTGCGTTTCGTTGGTTTGCTGTTGGTTGTTCTTTCTTTTCTTTTTTCTTTTCTTTTCCTTGCTTTTCCTTTCTCTTCCTTTCAACAGGGAGACCCCAAAAGAGCAATCGTTCTCATTTGTAACGGTGAAAAGGCAAATTGGGATTACAGGAGACGTGGCAACTTCAAGCAACAGCGCTGGATGCCAGTTACAGCACCTCCTGAACGCTCTTTCTGGCACCGGAAATGTAATTATGGACAACAGATCACTTTCTGGATCTTTTAGATTTCAGATTATGCACTATGATCCCTGAATCTTCAAGTAGGACCTTTCTGCTCCTATAAGAACTCTCATTTATTTAGTTAGAGCTGCTAATCAATAGCAAAAGAGGCATCTTTATAAAATTTTAATTCCACAAAGAGGGTAATTCGCACACACTGGAAATTGAGATTTAGCACTTCACAGCAATTAAACCCTCCCTGAACTCCTGGGAAGAAAGAGGGAGGGAGGGAAGAAGGAAGGGAAGGAGGGAGGGAGGGAGGGAGGGAGGAAGGAAGGAAGGAAGGAAGGAAGGAAGGAAGGAAGGAAGGAAGGAAGGAAGGAAGGAAGGAGAGAGAACAGAGCTAAATCACGAATTCCAAGGGTCTTAATGGATTTCCAAACTGGTTGCCAGGAGACATGAAGGAACCAAGGTTTCCTATTACTGCTTTCTGTGCCCTGTGTCTGGAGAACACCGGCCAATGGCGCTATGATTCTGCACACTGGGTGGTGTGGGCTTAATAGGAGAGTCTGGGGTTTCAGTGGCACTGGGCGTGATCGCTTCTGCCCCAGTCACACTGAGGGTCACGCCCAGGACAGTGCGTTTATGTTTGGGTATCATAGCCTCTCGGTGGCCTTTGGATCAGCTCTCTCAACTTCCAGCTTGTCACCCAAGGGCACTGACAAACCAAGCTGTGGAAAGGAAGAGCCCCCAAACTAGAGAGCAGAACCAGAGAAGCCAGCGTTAGTGCCCTTGCTGGTGCTCAAAGCACCCCTTAAATTGTTCCAGTGAGCAGAAGTTGGGGTTCTTTTTAATTGAGGTATAATTGATATGTAACATTATATTAGTCTCAGGTATACTACATAATGATTCCATATTTGTATATATTGGGAAATGGTCACCACAATAAGTCTAGTTATAACTTTCATCACCATGCATAGTTACAAAAATTTTCTTCTTGTGATGAGAACTTCTAAGATCTCTTTGCAACTTTCAGATTTGCAATGCAGTCTTAACTATAGGCAACACGCTATATCTTACCTCCCCAGGACTTATATATTTTATAGAAATTAGGATTCTTAAAGAAAAATTTTAATTGAAAATGTGCACATTATAGGAAGTAGGAAGTATATGAATTTTAATATTATGAGTTTGTTTACTTTCCATCAAATAAGATTTTTTCCAAGCAGCCAAAAGCCTATGTAAATTTCTTGAATACCGTGAAGTTCTCCCATCATAGAACTGGAAAAGATTTTAGAAGTCACCACACTGACACCCCTCACTCACTAGATGGTGAATTAGGCCAAAGAATAAAAATGAGGTACTTAAATACATCTTCGTCCCTGAGAGTATTTTAAAATGGGATTGAATTAGAAATAAGCATGTACCACCTATTATACCACGTAAGAGAAGTTTGGAGACAAAGCTAATTTCATTAAGTAATAACATTCTTTGTATTAAAATTTTATTTTATATACAGCTAAATTTTGAGGTTATACAGCACACTAAGATAATTATTAATAGAGTATAATAGAATTTTTGCAGCACTATAAACATGAATATAGATCAAGCCAAGAAAGAAGGAAAAAAGAAAAGAAAGAGAAATAACTCATCCCTTAGAGTCAATTTCTAAACATTGTTCCTTTCAAGTCTGTAAAACAGTGAAATGGAAAAAAAAAAAAAAGATCCCTAACCTTTTCACTTAGTACATTGTTTCTGGCAACAATTGCTGAATGAAAACAAAAGAAAGTTACAGGGAAATGCTGAAAATAAAATTAACCAAGTGAAAGGCAATGTGAGGTCTAAACAGGATTATTACAAAAGCTAGTTGACTCTTATATAGGATTTAGAAATGTTTTCCTCCATATCCACAAACTATATTTTTGAACTTGAAGTTACTAAAATAAGGTGACCAGTTTTCTATATTCAGTTGTTTCTTTACCGGCTCTTTGAAATGTCCGGTGTCTGTATGTTAATTCTTCCACCACCAGGAAAGACAGCATGATCCAGAGAAGCCCAACATGCCATTCTGTGAAATGTGTTAGAAATGCTATCATAAGGAAGTTTTCTCCACCAATTTTAACAGTCTGTATGACCTTCTCCCTCACAAACCCAGTGGCAACCTCTCAAGTAAGAACCCTTCCAGATTTTCGCAGAGAACATCTTCTCCCTCGTGAAGCCAGCCCTGAGGTCACAGTAAGGGACAGTAAAGGATCCCTGTGAAGCCAGCAGCCCACAAAGAAAATACCTTCTGGGGACAGAATTGTTGAAAACACACTTCCCCCTAGAGGCAGAAAAGATGAAAGAATATTACGCACAATTCAGAACATTTCTGTAATTTAATGAGTATTGAGGTTTTAGTTTTAACATATAGCTGATGTTTTAGAGGGAACCATTCAAGACCTGGGAGAGGAATCAGTGAATGCCAAAAAATTAAATTACAACTTTGCCTCTGGGCTTTATCTCTCCTCAAGCAGGGACTCTATTCATTGACCCCTTTTCTTCTGTTTTACAAATCTGTGATTTTTTTCCAGCACTATAAAAAATAGCAATTACATATTTTTTCCATTTAAATGTATGATTCAATTTCACCAGAAACTGCGGCTAAAGATGGGCTTGAGGGATTCTTTTGAAAACAACTCTAACAGACTTACATTCTTAAGGTTAGATTTGTTTCTGTCTTACTGTCCCCTCTTAGGTTCCCATTAGCCACAATCTCTTTTCACTTCTTTGAAGATGTCCTGAGACAAAATGACATTAGAAAGACTTGGGTGGCTCAGTAGTTAAGCGTCTGCCTTCGGTTCAGGTCGTGGTCCCAGGGTCAGCAGGAAGCCTGCTTCTCCCTCTCCCGCACTTGTGTTCCCCCTCTTGCTGTGTCTCTTTCTGTCA